TGTGCTCTTCCGATCTCCCCAAAACCCCAAAACCCCAAAACCCCATCGAACTAAAGTTTAGATTTTTTGGAAACTTTGCTGTCTAAATTACGGATAACTATAATTTAAAATAATATTTTGAAATTAAAATAATGGAAAAAAAGTCATCCATCTTCAAACCACTTGGAGGAAAAGATGTATTCTGTGATAGTTTTTTAACTCTTTTCAATAGATACTTGACAAAAAGGTAAAAAAGAGTGGCAAGTATGATAATATAAAGTCAAGTTTAGATACTGGTAAGACTATTAGAGATGTTGAAATTATGAGTAAGTATACTAAAAAAGATAACTTCAATTTCATAAAGGTGATCAACTAGTTGCCAAAAAAAAGAATGAGAAATTTAAGAGAATTAAGTGCTCTACTTTAGCAAAACTTCTTTAAGAATAGACCTATGATGAATCTGTTTATAACTTAGGAAATCAGAATGAAAATATATATAACGTAATTAAATATTATCAAAAATAAGACTAATAATGAGTTTTAGTTTGATTAACGCTCACAGGTGTAGTCAAGTGTTAGTGGTCTAAGAAATGATCATGATGATACTCATTCAGTTTATACTGTACAAACTGGAGTCTCTCAAGTCTCTGCAGTCACATATGCAACTGAGTAGTTAGGCATAAATTAAAACACTAAGTTCCTACTTCTTGATTTGAGAGATCCCGAAGAATACTCTCTATGGAGAATCAGAGAGTCCATTAACTTCCCAGCTCCTAATATTGCTAGAGATAAAACAATTCCAGAACTCTTTAGATTTAGAAATCAGCCTGATAAACTAATTATAATTTACTTGGGTGATGAAAGATCGGGCACCTAATATGCTGCCTTATTTTTTGAAAAAGGTTATGAGAACATATATTTGCTTAGTGGAGGATGCGAATCTTTCTTAGAAGAATTTCCAACCCTTTGTGAAGGTAGAGCTGTTCCTACACCAAAGCGATAGAGTAAGTATAAATTAAATTAAATTTACATCATAGTGGAGGAAAATAAGAAGGAAGCTAAAATGGAGCTTACTAAGAAAAAGCATGAGAATTGTGTTACTGGATAGATTTAGAGGAGATATTGATTAAACAATTATAAGCAGACAAGTTAAAAATTGCATACATTTTTTAGAATTTTAATCTCCAATTGTAAACCTTAATTCAATAGGGCGGGGTTTTGGGGTTTTGGGG